TTTTTTTTTTTCAAACCTCCTTCACTTCCCCTGGTCCGCTTCCCCTGGTCCGCTTCCCCTCAGCCCTGCAGAAGCAGCTCTGGTCTTCCCCGCCTCCACTGTGTCTTACAGTGTGTGAGGAAGAACAGTGAGTGTGGAGTGAATGGACCAGCTCCACCCCTTTTGCCAGCGTGCTTTCCAGCAGGGCCGGCAAATATTTTCTTTTTTTTTTTAAATTGAAGTAAAGTTGATTTACAGTCTTGTGCCAATCTCTTCTGTACAGCAAAGTGACTCAGTTATACACAGAGACATTCTTTTCTCATATTCTTTTCCATTCTGTTTTATCCCAGGAGGTTGGATATAGTTCCCTGTGCTGTACAGTAGGACCTTGTTGTTCATCCATTCTATATATACTAGTTTGCATCTGCTAACCCCAAACTCCCAATTCCTCCCTCCCCAACCCCCCTTCCCCCTGGCAACCACAAGTCTGTTCTCTAGGTCTGTGAGTCTGCTTCTGTTTTGTAGGTAAGTTCATTTGTGTCACATTTTAGGTTCCACATGTAAGTGATATCATATGGTATTTGTCTTTCTGACAAAAGTATTTTTTTTGACTTGCTTTTTGAGCAAAATACACTTGAAGCAAATTCAGCCCTGCATCGCGGTTCTATCGTAAGCATGTCGCAGTGTGGAGTGCACACCCAGGCACACACTGGGTGCTGTGGAAGGACTTGCTAGATGAACAAATAAGCCCTTTCAGCTCAAGTGCCCACCTCAGGTTTTAAAGTTTCCTCTTTAATTATGTAACAAGGGTTGCTGGCATTCGTGAGCCTCGCATGTACCCATAACATGTCATGTGTAAGGCAGAAGTTGACACGTACTGACAGATGAATACCCTCCCGGGCTTGGGTGTGACAGGTGCCATTACCCTTTAGAATAGCTGCATTAGCTCTGGTTTCCAGTGCTGTCACCCTCAGAGGACAGTCACACTAGACCCCCTACCCCACCACGGGGCACGAGATTTTCTTCTCTACTGAGCAGTTGTGTCTTCACAAGTCTCTGGGCTTAGGCAGTGGACCTTACCATGGAGCACGTTTAGAATATGGGAATCAAGGGTATTAGGACAAGTGACAACAACTGCGGGGACAGAAGCAAGTTTGATTTATTTATTTATTTGCGGTATGCGGGCCTCTCACTGTTGTGGCCTCTCCTGCTGCGGAGCACAGGCTCTGGATGCGCAGGCTCAGCGGCCATGGCTCACGGGCCCAGCCGCTCCGCGGCATGTGGAATCTTCCCGGACCGGGGCACGAACCCACGTCCCCTGCATCAGAGGCGGACTCTCAACCACTGCGCCACCAGGGAAGCCCGCAAGTTTGATTTTTGAAACACATTTTGCCCGGGAATTTTTTTTTTTTTTTTTTTTACATATTTGGGCATTCCCTTTCCTTTGAGGATGATGGTGCTAGGTACTGAAACTAACCAACACAGGGCAACGCTACCCTGGGAAGGCCCATGAGGAAAATTTTGGAATTCTAGGACTCATGGCAGTAATTCCCAGCTTATGGAGTGCTGTCCACGAGGTGGGAATGGGGGACTGACCTGGAGGAATGTATTGCAAACAGTCAGAGAATCATGGCCAGGAGTATATAAAATGCAGAATTTTAAACCGTCTGTACCACATGCAGTATATTTGCATGGAGGAATGTTGGCTGCTGTTGGCATCGTTTCCAGCAGTTTTGCTAGAATCTGAGTGCCCGAGTGTGTGTGTGTGGTTGTTGGGAGTGATACAGCTCAGGAGAGCATGAGCCAGGAGTAAGATGCACTCTGCATTTAGAACTGAGCTGGTGGGGTTATGGTGACAGAGGAGTCAGTAACGCTGAAAACTGAATCAAGTCATTGGATAAGCTATATGTTTTCCCTAGTCATTTATCCAATCACAATAAGCTAACAAGAGCAAACGAAACTTGGAAAAAGAGATTTTCATTTCCCTGAAACCTCAGTCATTAGCCCTATGGTAGATTAGAACACTTTGCAATTTAATGAGCCAGACTGCCCTTCTTTTCCTTAAGTTGAATAAATCAGGTGAGCTCTCAGTTAAGTTATATGACCCTTGGTACATATTTTTAATTTCCCTTGATGAAACCTGTATGAATTCTTACATCATTGGTGAGATGTTCTACTGAGGATAAGAAAGGTAATTTTGGAAGGTGTCTTTTTGTTCTCTCTCTAGGTACTATCCTATTCCAGAAATTGGTGTCTACACCCAAAGCAATCAGGGAAGAAAAAAAAAGCTCCTGGTCAATAAGGCACAGAACCAGATATCTGGGGGCCTTCTCACTACAAACCTCCCTTTTTTAGACTGTGTTTGTATAGTCGTGTGCGTGTGTATATATGTATGCATATTTCCACATACACATATTATACACAAACATATATGTGTGCTCTATAATAAACATAATTATATGTGTCTTGTTCTTTTAAAAATAATGACAATAAGCAAATTATCTAGGCCAGGTTCATTTTAATCTAATCTATTTATGTTTTCTGCTCCACCAAAATGCAGTTCCCTCAACAGAAATTTTCAACACATTTTCACCTTTTATTTACTTACTTTTATTCCCTCTGGGGGGAGTTGGTGGCTGGCTGAGGCCTTTGTAAACAATGCTGTACTGATCATTTAGTAACCAGCTCTAGAAATCAAAACAAGAAAGATTTTAAAAAAGACATGTTAGAAAAGAGGAATGAACAGCTTTAACTGAGTTAAGGATGCTTTATTTTATTTTTTTATTTTTTAAATTTTTGGCTGTGTTGGACCTTTGTTGCTGGGCATGGGCTTTCTCTAGTTCCGGGGAGCAGGGGCTACTCTTCGTTGTGGTGCGCGGGCTCAGTAGTTGTGGCTTGTGGGCTTCAGTAGTTGCAGCACGTGGGCTTCAGTAGTTGCGGCACATGGGCTCAGTAGTTGTGGTGCACGGGCTTAGTTGCTCCGTGGCATGTGGGATCTTCCTGGACTAGGGATCAAACCCATGTCCCCTGCATTAGCAGGTGGATTCTTAACCACTGCGCCACCAGGGAAGCCCCAGGATGCTTTATTCTAACTGGTTTCTTGCTCATCACCCCACCTTCTTGCTTTCTCCAGAAAAGATTCTTCTGTGCAGCATTCTCCACACTTTCCAGCCCCCCCTTTTTTTTCTCACATCACCTGCAGGGTATTTCCAATCAGATACAGCTGGGAGCATTTGAACTTCAGTGTTGCATGTTTGCTTATTTATTTATTGTTAGAGTTGATTCGGTTAACATATGGGCTCAAGGAAAGATGGAGACTATTTTGCCTTGAAACAGTGTAAGGAGTATTATCTTTGTGTTTCTTCAATCCTTTCCCAGTGTACAATTCTGCACAAGCCTCTAGAAGCTTCTCTGACCTGCTCTGTCCATGCCTTTCCTTCAGGCTTGGGTCTGAAAGCACAGAATCTCTTCTGAGTAATGTTCCTGTTTAACACAGCACCTCTCCTCCCCAATTCTTCAAGGCTTGAAGACGTTACATACTCAGGAACCGCTTTGGAAATGGAAGGGTTTCTGGCGGTTCTATTTATTTTTAAGTTTGCTACAGAAAATGCCGATTTCCAGTTCTTAGGATAAAAGTAGAACCTCCTGGGACTTCCCTGGCAGTCCATTGGTTAAGACTCCGTGCTTCCACTGCAGGGGGGCACAGGTTCCATCCCTAGTCGGGGAGCTAATATCCCACAAGCCACAGCAGCACAAACTCCTGTTTTGGGGACGGTTTGCTCAGTGTCAGAGTAAGCCTGGCTTTGCATTCTGATTAGATAATGAATCCCAGCCTAATTACACATGGCTTCTTATGCAAGCACCGTCAGCAGTAAAAATTTAGGTACTTCTTATGTGAAATGATCTACTTAAAGCTTTTAAACAATTGGAGAGACTTCCTGTTTCCGTTCAGGGTTCTTATTATATGGGTTAATGATATGCATACAAAGATTTGCTTTGCTTCCAAAACAAATCTAATCTGACGGGTTCTGATGAATCGTAAGTTAAGGGCGTTCCCAAGGCATGCCTTGTTAGAAGGAAAGAGTCCTTTTGGGGAAATGCATGCTCGTTTTCTTCACGTGGGAGGGATGTTGTCGACAGGTGCTGATGAGCCGTGTGCTTTCCACAGAAATGGGTAGACGGATGCTTTACCAACAGTCTGCCCCTCCTGCCTGTAGGCCGGACAGTGACCGTCTCAGCATTCAGCGGGAGAGTGGACATCTCCCCGCAGGACGAAGGGCAGCTGGATTTCTATGTGACCATAGCCAAGCAGGACATACTGGTGAGTAATGATGTTCACTGATAACTGAAGACTCCTCATCTCCGAAAACTTTCCACATGCTTCCAGAACTTTGGCATCTCAGTTTTATATACAAATTGCACAAATATTTTAAATAATCTACATGTGTCATGCATATGGACATGACTGTTACTATCAACATTCTATTTGTGAAACATTTTCCATTCCTTTACTTATTTTTCAGGTCAGTATACTGGGCAGGATTTCAGTGCACTTTTAAATTAGATCACTTAATTGTTTTAAAAGATGGCAGGAATTAAGTAGGTAAGAGAAAAACTTAGGACCTAACAGAATAACTTACATAAAAATGTGGATTCCCTTAATCTCGTCGAATAGCTCTCAACAGGAGGTGATATTGTACGCAGGAGACACTGGCAGTGTCTGGAGACTGTTCTGGTCATCACGTCTGGGGTGCGTGCTGGCATCTAGTGGGTGGAGCCCGGGGATGCTACTCAGCATCCTACAGTGCACAGGACGGCCCCACCACAAAGAAGCATCTGGCCCAAAACGTCAGTGGTCCCCAGGCTGAGAAACCCTCATGCAGTGTATGGGTGGGGGTGAATTTTTAAATTTAATTTTCTTCCTCATTTTTTTTAAAATTGCTAATAGCATCTATGATAAGAAAGCTTCGGTTACAGAGATGATGTCCATTTACCTGTACCGTAATATCCTCCAGCTTCCATTTGTCTTTCTATCCTAGTTGTCCATGGCAAACTTGGTGAGGCTTCACCAAGCCCTTTTCCCACCAAGCGAGACGATAATGGAATCACTATATCATCGTGGCTTTGATGACGCCATCAAGTTTTTACTTAAAGAAAGTTGGTTTGAATACAACGCTTAAAACTTCACAACGCAAAACACATTTCCGACCGTTCTTGATGGAGGTTTCTAATCCTTTTTTAAAAGCCTATCATAACTATCTGTTTTGTTATTGGTTTTTGTAATATTTGTCATTTTTAATATTGAAATCATTACTTGGTGCAAGGAAATGAGGCATTTTGGTTGAATTTGGCAGCGTCACTAAGAAGGGTGCACTCAGGTGATGAGGAATCGTTGTAAGAGAACCACCACATCCTTTGAAAGCCCGCTGGGAATGTAGGGGGTTCTCTGGGGAAACCGTGGAATGCTGAAAATGAGGTTCGTGGTGCACACACATTCTCTGCACTGATAACGTGGAGGCGCCCTTCAGACGCAAAGCACGGGCCTTTCCAGGAGACACCAGTGTCCTGTACTTCCAGAGTGGAAGGAAGCGTGTTCTCAGGCTGCACCCCGCTCCCTCTCAGGTGGGCCAGGAAGGATGTGAGAAATAGTCAGCATCATGAAAGGCCTTTAACAAGGGGTGGAGCAACACAGGCTTGCTTTTCCTAGGTGTGTACAGTTGTTCCTGGGGTGGAGGTAGAAAGGTGAATAGCAGAGAGTAACCGGAAGCCCAGAGTTTGAAATTAGGTATGTCTTCCTTAGCCCTCGCCCTCCGGAAACCTGCTCGCCAGCTCACGTCATTGTCAGGCTCTTCTGACACCTCCCTGTTGTTAATATTCTCTGTCCTTATCTCCCCAGCTCTTTCTCTGTCCTGGTTTCTCTGTCTTTCTCTCCCTATTCCTTCAAGGCCATACTTCACCAAGTGTTCAGCCATTACTCTGTGTACCAGACATAGGTACTCTAAGAACTTAAATGCATAAGATACTACTAGACACGAAGAGCCAAGTCAACCAAGTAGCCTAGCAAATAACAATTCAATCCAGAATCATCATTCCTTCATTATTTTTAAATCATGCTATACTGACCCCAGGTCTTCCATTTTTTGAGTAGTTGTCCTGTCACTTGAGGACTCATGTGTGGGTTTACACTGACTCATGTACACCCGTCTTAAATCTTAACTCGTTTTTATGGTGCTTTCCCAAGCATGAACTCTTAATTACTGTGAAGCAGTGAGACACAAACCAGTTTAATTGCATGTCTTTAATTGTTTTGCATTTCTCTTTTTACCGTTTGAAACCATTCTTTAAGTCAATTTTATGGTTCTTGCCCAAAGTACACGACTTTTAGCACAGAAACACCAACTACTGCTTGTTTTGTTACGAGTCACGCCAGGACTTGGAGAGTAGTGATGTTTCTTGGGGGTCTGTGTTTTTTCCTACTCTAGCAAACATGTAGTTAAATCTTAATATGTTGTTCTCATAAGTGACTTGAAGTGGATGGATTCTCCGTTCTTCCGTCTGTCTATTCACTAGATTTTCCCCTTACCTGTTATTTTATGCGAATAATCTATTTGTATGCTATTTCAGTAAATTACTTATCGATTCCTCCCCGAGCAAAACCAAACCTTCATATGTTAGACTTTTAAAAACTATATCGTACCTTCTACATATGTCTTTGACCATGTGAGTGGATGGTACTTGCCTTGAAAAATCCTGTAAGATGGTGGAAAGATGGGTCTGCAGGGCAGCAACTTTCTAACACTTGGGAGACGTGGCACCGTAATACAGCACCTCATCTGTAGCATCAATGTCCTCCAGGTGTGCTGTGCCATCTCCTCACCTGAGGCCTGTCACAGCCCACGCTGCGTGGTGGCTACGGAACATCCTCATGCAGCTGTAGTAACAGAAACGGGCGCTAACGACAGGGTGCCCATGTTATTGGGACCAGCCCTTCAAAGCGCTGTAGCACTGGTGTATGGAACATCTGAAGAGACTTTCTGACCCAGTTCCTGATAGGTTTGCTCGGTAATTACTGGGACTGGCAGCTTGATAAGTGCCCATTTCCCTGTTGGAGTAATTTCCTAATATCTTTGAATCTGTCATTTAAAATTTCATTAGTCTTCTCTTCAGTAACAGTCTCTACTTTGTAACTATGGTAACCCACTGCTTCCACTGACAATTAGAGAAAATAGATTTGGTTTTGAAGTTAAGTAATGTGCGAAAGGACCAAGCAGTATATTTAAAACAAAAAAACAAAAACCCCCCACAAAACTCTCTTACATTCTGGTTTCCCAATATGGGGCATTGTGTGTGCATATGAGAAGCTTGCAAAGAAAGAGCTGTGAGGCTCTGAGCATTGAATTATGATTCTAAACAGACATGGGCAGTTAACATGGACACATTTCATTTATGCTGCTTTTTTTCCTGATGACTAAAACACATACATATAATTACATATATATATATATAAGTCATAGAAATGTTTCTGGATCTAGGGCATTACTTTTACAGTTGAGGAACCAATGATTAGGGAAATTCGGGGTTTTGAGGTTTTTCTGGCCTGAGTTATGTCTACACTATAGCAAAATAAAACTGAAATTGAAGTAATTATCCACATAACACGAAGTGGGAGGAAAAGCAATTACTGCAGTTGAGGAAAAGTGGATAAACTTCAGTAATCATAATGATTGCTATTATATATGAGTAACAGTATTATTTCATTATAACTTTATATTATAGTACTGTTAAAAGTAGTTATTATCATTGTTCACAGATTGACAGTTTAGGTGGGCTGAATTCATGTAATTGCTCACCTCTGCACTTACTTTTGCCCCTATTGACACAACTCAAAGCTTTGCTGACTAAATGCTAATACATATAGTTATATATCCTCACATACGTCCCCTTGGGATAATTCTCCTGCTCTCTCTCTTTTTATTTTTTAATATCCCTTTCTCTTGACGGACTTCAAGAGGGGCAAGAATAGGATTCAATCTTTTCCTTGTTATATATAGAAAGCATCTCTGAATATGCAGTCTTGCACAACTCATAATAGCATATCCAACTTGATCTTGAAATAAGGTAAAGGTAGTTTGTTGGAAGCACAGACGAGGGAAGGGATGCATTTTGCTGCCACTTCTCATGGCTCCTTGCACGGGATGCACAGAAGCAATGGTAGTAGACGGAGGATGTTATCATCCCTAGCAAGGCATCTTAGTCTATTCAGGCTGCTGTAACAGAAAACCACAGACATGGCTCCCTGTTCTAAAGCCTAGGAAGTCCAAGAGCAAGGCACTGGCTGATTCACTGTCTTCACATGGTGGAAGGGGTGAGTAAGCTTTCCAGGTCCTTTCTTAAGGACGCTAATCCCATTCATAAGGGCTCCACCCTTGTGATCTAACCACCTCCCAAAGGCCCCACTTCCTGTTACCATCACCTTAGGGGTTAGGATTTCAACCTATGGTTTTTTTGTCGGCGGGACACAGACATGCCATCTGTAGCTGAAAGGGAGGTAGATTTGCTGCTGTACAACGAGGGGAGGGAGGAATGTCCATGAAACCCAGGTAATTCCCTTGGGTATCCCCTCTACTACCATCACTAGTGGACTAGTTAGTGGAAAACTACTGCAACTGTCTATGGCAGAAGCAAGAGTACAGATCAGTCAGGACTGAACATTTGGGTCATTGCACTGGAGGACGGGCTCTGACCACACCAGAGGTGTGGGTGGAAGCAGAGAGAGTGCGTGATGGAGAATGAGTGAGCGGAGTGAGACTTAGCTGAGGAGCAGTGACACAGCCACAGGCAGGTATCCTGCAGCACAAGGCAGGAGCAGTGCTCTGGGACGGCCAACCTGATGCAAGACAGTCAATCCTTGGCACTGTTCAGAACCCCGGGCCTCCATCACTGCAGACTGTGGGAGCCTCCTGGTCATGTCCTTTGAGTGCACTCTCTGTGTGACTGTATTTATTTGGCAGCAACCACCTGGCTTGTGGGAACTCAGTTCCCTGACCAGGGATTGATCCAGTGAAAGTGAAAGGGCGGAAACCTCATCACTGGACCGCCAGGGAATTCCCTCTCTCTGACTTTAAGATAGCCAGAGCCACTGTCTTCTACTTGCTACCCAAGTATAGCTGATATAGTTAAAATGCATCAATTCCTCCTCAACAACTAGGGAAAAAGTAGATGAAGCCTTGCAAATTATCTTTCGCATAATGTCTTGTGTTTAAAAACCCCTGTGAAAGGAAGCAGGCTTTTACGGTAGGATATCTGTCTTCCTAAAGCATTAAGAGGTTGGTAAACACAAAAGGATTTCAATTAGGTTGTCAGTTACAGAGACAGAGACTCACCATCTGTCTCCGAATAAGGGGTGTGGTGCTTCATTGGAATTTACGTGCAGTATGAGGAGGACCGTCATTTGAATATGATAGTTTTAACACACTAAAGCTGAAGGACATTGGACGGGCTGCTCTCCTATCATTCTTCATATTGCACTATCAAGTGTGTTGTGAGATTAGCAGCTTTGCAAATCCCTGCCTAGCGCACTGAGCACTGAATACATGATTGAATTTGAACGGGCTTTCCGGTTTCACAATCTGAAAACTTGTTCCCAAACACAGTAAGGCCCTTTGATTGCCCGTCACAGCCACAGTAAGGCCCTTTGATTGATTGCCCGTCACAGCCACAGTAAGGCCCTCTGATTGCCCGTCACAGCCACAGTAAGGCCCTCTGATTGCCCGTCACAGCCACCCGTGTGTTGTGATGCTTGGTACACCATTCTCTTCAGAGATTTCCAACCTCTCTTTTTTATTTTTTTTTTCTTTCGTAAATAAGGTTTTAAAAAATTAATTAATTTAGGCTGCATTGGGTCTTTCTCGCTGTATGGGGCTTTCTCTAGTTGCAGCGAGCGGGGGCTATTCTTCGTTGTGGTGTGCGGGCTTCTCGTTGCGGTGGCTTCTCTTGTTGCAGAGCACGGGTTTCAGTAGTTGTGGTACGTGGGCTCAGTAGTTGTGGCTCGTGGGCTTTAGAGCGCAGGCTTAGTAGTTGTGGCACATGGGCTCAGTTGCTCTGCAGTATGTGGGATCTTCCCGGACCCCGGCTTGAACCCATGTCCCCTGCATTGGCAGGCGGATTCTTAACCACTGCACCACCAGGGGAGTCTGTAAATGTCCAACCTTGCTTGAATATGACCTACTTTATATGGTGATCCAATACCTATATGCGTATATTTTACATACACATATGTATACATAAATTTAAAAATTAAAAATAATTTTATAAGACAATACTCTCATTATGTGTAATTCTTTTTGATATGTTTTATCACATTTTATTTAAAAATATTGTCATGACATTTAAATGACTTCACAGCTGCTAACAAGTCAGGAGCTGGAGTCTGAAAACACAATTCTAACCAACTTTTAGAACATCAGAGTCACTGAGGTTCTCAATTTGTGTTTAAAATGCCTTTATTTAAATTTAAAAAATCACCCTTCATATATGGCATGGTAGAATAAATAATCAGTACTATGTTTGAAATATTTATTTCTTCTCTCATCCTAAGTTCTTTTTCTGTGTGTGTGGGATTTTTTTTTTCTTTATTCAAACAGAAAGTCATGAAAATTATAATCATCCTCATTAAGTTCACTCAGTCCCATTTAATTAATTTTTTTTAATCTTGATCTTTGGTTAGCACTTTTATGAATGCATCAGTTTTCCATTAGAGTTCTGAAAACGCTTATTCATTCAGTTCAGCAGTATAGTCAGTTACCGGAAACCTGTACTTGTCAGAGTCTTTTCCATGAACTCCTTGAAGATGAAACCCTTTTATAGGAACGTTTTTGCAAAAGCACCAGAGTGCACCCAGAACCGTCTGTAAATGACAAAAGACTGAAAAATGGCCACGGTTAAAGATTTGATGAAAGTTCATAATGATGCAGTTGACAAAGAAATTTAGTTATTTCTGAGATATACATTTTAAAGTAATAACTAGAATTGTGACTTGTAACATTATACCAGAACATACAAGATTTTTAGGAATTTCATGTAATGTCTGAAACATTTATATTAACATATTTCCATACAAATAACCCAAGGACAGTTTAGTATTAGTTGTTTTTTTGTTTGTTTTTTTATACTGCAGGTTATTAGTCGTCAGTTTTATACACATCACTGTATACATGTCAATCCCAATCGCCCAATTCAGCACACCACCATCCCCACCCCACCGCAGTTTTCCCCCCTCGGTGTCCATACGTTTGTTCTCTACATCTGTGTCTCAACTTCTGCCCTGCAAACAGGTTCATCTGTACCATTTTTCTAGGTTCCACATACATGCGTTAATATACGATATTTGTTTTTCTCTTTCTGACTTACTTCACTCTGTATGGCAGTCTCTAGGTCCATCCACGTCTCAACAGATGACTCAATTTAGTTCCTTTTTATGGCTGAGTAATATTCCATTGTATATATATGTACCACAACTTCTTTATGCATTCATCTGTCGATGGGCATTTAGGTTGCTTCCATGACCTGGCTATTGTAAATAGTTCTGCAATGAACATTGGGGTGCATGTGTCTTTTTAAATTCTGGTTTTCTCTGGGTATATGCCCAGTAGTGGGATTGCTGGATCATATGGTAATTCTATTTTCAGTTTTTTAAGGAACCTCCATACTGTGCTCCATAGTGGCTGTATCAATTTACATCGCTACCAAAAGTGCGAGAGGGTTCCCTTTTCTCCGCACCCTCTCCAGCATTTGTTGTTTGTAGATTGTCTGATGATGCCCATTATAACTGCTGTGGGGTGATAACTCATTGAAGTTTTGATTTGCATTTCTCTAATAATTAGTGATGTTGAGCAGCTTTTCATGTGCTTCTTGGCCATCTGTATGTCTTCTTTGGAGAAACGTCTGTTTAGGTCTTCTGCCCATTTTTGGATTGGGTTGTTTGATTCTTTAATATTGAGCTGCATGAGTTGCTTGTACATTTTGGAGATTAATCATTGGCAGTTGCTTCATTTGCAAGTATTTTCTCCCATTCTGAGGGCTGTCTTTTTTTAACATCTTTATTGGGGTATAATTGCTTTACAATGGTGTGTTAGTTTCTGCTTTATAACAAAGTGAATCAGTTATACATATACATATGTTCCCATATCTCTTCCCTCTTGCGTCTCCCTCCCTCCCACCCTCCCTATCCCACCCCTCCAGGCGGTCAAAAAGCACCGAGCTGATCTCCCTGTGCTATGCGGCTGCTTCCCACTAGCTACCTACCTTACGTTTGGTAGTGTATATATATCCATGCCTCTCTCTTGCTTTGTCACAGCTCACCCTTCCCCCTCCCCATATCCTCAAGTCCATTCTCCAGTAGGTCTGTGTCTTTATTCCTGTCTTACCCCTAGATTCTTCATGACATTTTTTTTCTTAGATTCCATATATATGTGTTAGCATACGGTATTTGTCTTTCTCTTTCTGACTTACTTCACTCTGTATGACAGACTCTAGGTCTATCCACCACATTACAAATAGCTCAATTTCATTTCTTTTTATGGCTGAGTAATATTCCATTGTATATATGTGCCACATCTTCTTTATCCATTCATCCAATGATGGGCACTTAGGTTGTCTCCATCTCTGGGCTATCGTAAACAGAGCTGCAATGAACATTTTGGTACATGACTCTTTTTGAATTATGGTTTTCTCAGGGTATATGCCCAGTAGTGGGATTGCTGGGTCATATGGTAGTTCTATTTGTACTTTTTAAAGGAACCTCAATACTGTTCTCCATAGTGGCTGTACCAATTCCCATTCCCACCAGCAGTGCAGGACTGTTCCCTTTTCTCCACACCCTCTCCAGCATTTATTGTTTCTAGATTTTTTGATGATGGCCATTCTGACTGGTGTGAGATGATATCTCATTGTAGTTTTGATTTGCATTTCTCTAATGATTAATGTTGTTGAGCATTCCTTCGTGTGTTTGTTGGCAGTCTGTATATCTTCTTTGGAGAAATGTCTATTTAGGTCTTCTGCCCATTTTTGGATTGGGTTGTTTGTTTTTTTGTTATTGAACTGCATGAGCTGCTTGTAAATTTTGGAAATTAATCCTTTGTCAGTTGCTTCATTTGCACATATTTTCTCCCATTCTGAGGGTTGTCTTTTGGTCTTGTTTATGGTTACCTTTGCTGTGCAAAAGCTTTGAAGTTTCATTAGGTCCCATTTGTTTATTTTTGTTTTTCTTTCCATTACTCTAGGAGGTGGATCAAAAAAGATCTTGCTGTGATTTATGTCAAAGAGTGTTCTGCCTATGTTTTCCTCTAAGAGTTTTATAGTGTCCGGTCTTACATTTAGGTCTCGAATCCATTTTGAGTTTATTTTTGTGTATGGTGTTAGGGAGACTTCTAATTTCACTCTTTTACATGTACCTGTCCAGTTTTCCCACCACCACTTATTGAAGAGACTGTCTTTTCTCCATTGTATATCTTCGTCTCCTTTGTCATCGATAAGTTGACCGTAGGAGCATGGGTTTATCTCTGGGCTTTCTATCTTCTTCCGTTGATCTATATTTCTGTCTTTGTGCCAGTACCATATTGTCTTCATTACTGTAGCTTTGTAGTATACTCTGAAGTGAGGGAGTCTGATTCCTCCAGCTCCGTTTTTTTCCCTCAAGACTGCTTTGGCTATTCGGGGTATTTTGTGTCTCCATACAATGTTTTCTTTTTAACATCTTTATTGGAGTATAACTGCTTTACAATGGTGTGTTAGTTTCTGCTTTATAACAAAGTGAATCAGTTATACATATATATATGTTCCCATATCTCTTCCCTCTTGTGTCTCCCTCCCTCCCACCCTCCCTATTCCACACCTCTAGGTGGTCACTAAGCACCGAGTTGATCTCCCTGTGCTATGTGGCTGCTTCCCACTAGCTATCTATTTTACGTTTGGTAGTGTATATATGTCCATGCCACTCTCTCACTTTGTCACAGCTTACCATTCCCCCTCCCCATATCCTCAAGTCCATTCTCTAGTAGGTCTGTGTCTTTATTCCTGTCTTACCGCTAGGTTCTTCATGACATTTTTTTTCCTTAGATTCCATATATATGTGTTAGCATATGGTATTGGTCTTTCCCTTTCTTGCTTACTTCACTCTGTATGACAGACTCTAGGTCCATCCACCTCACTACAAATAACTCAAATTTGTTACTTTTTATGGCTGAGTAATATTCCATTGTATATATGTGCCACATCTTTATCCATTCATCCAATGATGGACACTTAGGTTGCTTCCATGCCCTGGCTATTGTAAATAGAGCTACAGTGAACATTTTGGTACATGACTCTTTTTGAATTACGGTTTTCTCAGGGTATATGCCCAGCAGTGGGATTGCTGGGTCATATGGTAGTTCTATTTGTAATTTTTTAAGGAACCTCCATACTGTTCTCCATAGTGGCTATACCAATTCACATTCCCACCAACAGTGCAAGAGTGTTCCCTTTTCTCCACACCCTCTCCAGCATTTATCGTTTCTAGATTTTCTGATGGTGGCCATTCTGACCGGTGTGAGATGATATCTCATTGTAGTTTTTTTCTTTTTTGTTGTTGTTGTTTTGTTTATTTATTTTTTTGCGGTACACGGGCCTCTCACTGTTGTGGCCTCTCCCGTGGCGGAGCACAGGCTCTGGACGCCCAGGCTCAGCGGCCATGACTCATGGGCGCAGCCGCTCCACAGCATGGGGGATCCTCCCAGACCGGAGCACGAACCCATGTCCCCTGCATCGGCAGGCGGACTCTCAACCACTGCGCCACCATGGAAGCCCTCTCATTGT